CTTTCAAAACCAGATGTTCCAGCATCTAACTATTGAAAGTTCTCCTCAAGAGCTCCATGTGTGAGGTTTGGGAGAAAGAGAGCCTTCTGAACCTTTATCTGTACTTCTGTGCTCATCAAAGTGACTTCATTTTCTGCACGGAAATCAATCTCTCTCCCTCCCTCTCTCTCTCTGTCTCCTTGTCTCCCTTCCTTCTTCCTTCTTTCCTTCCTTCTTCCTTCTTTCCTTCCTTCCTTCCCTCTTTCTTTCTTTCTTCTTTCTTTCCTTCCTTCCTTCCTTCCTTCTTTCTTTTCTTTCTTTCTTTCTTTCTTTCTTTCTTTTTTCTTCTTTCCTTCCTTCCTTCCTTCCTTCCTTCCTTCTTTCTTTCTTTCTTTCTTTCTTTCTTTCCTTCCTTCCTTCTTTCTTTTTCTTTCTTTCTTTGTTTCTTTGTTTCTTTCTTTCCTTCTTTCTTCCTTCCTTCCTCCCTCCGTCCCTTCCTTCCTCTCTTTCTCTCTTTTTCTTTCCTTCTTACCTTGACGGGATATCCAGCATCTAAAAGAGGAAAATAACGTCCTTAGTGGAGGATCATGTCCAGTTGGCCTTTTCTGCAACCTCACTCCCTGGGTGACACCTGAGCTGCCCTAAGGTACCTTGAGTTGCCAGAAGTAGCTGTAATAAAAACACAGAACACGCAGTTACATTTGTGTCCGCCCATCCTCCTGGGACCCTCAGGGCCAGGTCCAGCTTCGTGGGGCAAAATCTGTGCAGTCGCACAGGACCTCGTGCTCAGAAGGGCCTGTGCTTGGTTTGCTGCTCTGCTCTCACCATCTTGAAATTCTTAATTATTTTTGAACAAGGGACCCTGCATTTTTGTTTTGCCCCAGGTCCCAAATTCCATAGCCGGTCCTGCCTAGGGCATGATTTGGGACCCCATTGCCACAAGTACTGCCACTTTGAGTGAATCCATCTCCCTACGTGGTATAGACCTGAGTGCAGCCTCACTACCTGCCTTGTCCTGTTATAGAGCGGATGACATCTGCTGGCTTTTCCTTAGAGACCGTGTTTGCTATCCTAATTGACTCTAAGCGTTTCTGCCTTGGTACCAGATACTACTTGTAAGACTTTTAAATCCAAGTTTCACTGTAGCTGGCATAAATCAGTGAAATACTCAGCATGTAGAAGTGCTAGTTGCTTCCTAGATGCCTTGAAAAGCCATTCGACCTAAAAAGTAATTTTTATTGATGCTCCATAATCAGTGTTCCCTGATGCATAGGATATTCGTTACAAATGCATGTTTGTGGTGTCAGTATTCTGCATACTTGCTCAGGCTCATGGCTTCCAAATGTTGGCTGTAGATTAGCTTGATTCCTTCTGCAGATGGAATCTTTTACAAAAGGCAAGAACATAGCTGTTCTAGCTGCTTAGTCCCCTGGAGTTCTCCTAAGAAAGGGACTCCTGAGCAGGTGCAGCAGGACTCAATCCCTGGGAATTTATCAAGTAAATAGAAGAAAATAAAGAGTATTCACATGTTGAACAAGAGAACTGTGCAGAGAGCCACAAAAACACCACCACCACAGAAACAATCACCTGGAAAGAAATAACCTCACAGGTTGTCTTAAGAAAATCTGGTGTAAGTTTTCAAAACACCAGACCTAGATAAGGATGTAATTACTTGTATTGAAAGGAAATATATTTTATTTTATAAAATAGGTTTATTTTACTACTGGGTTCATTTTTAAATAATGAAATCTCTGTTACAACTAAAACATTCAATGTATACAAATTTTACTGAATTTCCTAGTTTTGATCATCATTATTGCACGTGAGATATCACTTTTGACTATACAAAATGGCTATACAAAACCCCTCTTCTATTTTAATTTTGCAACTTTTTGTGTATATAATTATTTTAAAATAGAAAGTTAAAATTATATATATTTAAATATAGTATATTATATATTTTATATAATGTTATATAATTTATTTATATTTTAAAATTTATTATTTTTTGTATAATTTATATATATGTTATAATGTATTCAGGAACACATACATGAGGTTAAAAAAGCACATCTTCAGTGCACGCTCAGTTGAGAGGGTGACTGATCTATCTTTGCTTCCCCCTGGTCATTTATCAAATAAAGTACTGAATTTAGAGACGGTCCTGCCCAAACCCCATGGTAGCTGATAGCTTCAACCACTTAATTCTTCACCAAGGGGCATCAATAGCAGAAAATAAACTCATTTTTAAAAATCAGGTTTTCTTGTCTCATGACCTAGAAAAAGAGGAATGATTCCAAAAGCGAGGAGCAAAAAGTAAAGAGAAAGGAGCAAAGACCTAAACTGAGGAATCTGCTTTTGTGATATTAGCTAGGCCCCAGTGTGTCTATCTTTTAAGTTTAGCACTTAAACTGAGTTATTATGTTCTTCTAATTTTTTTTTTTTTTTTTGCGGTATGCGGGCCTCTCACTGTCGTGGCCTCTCCCGTTGCGGAGCACAGGCTCCGGATGCGCAGGCTCAGCGGCCATGGCCCACGGGCCCAGCCGCTCCGTGGCATGTGGGATCTTCCCGGACTGGGGCACGAACCCGTGTCCCCTGCATCGGCAGGCGGACTCTCAACCGCTGCGCCACCAGGGAAACCCTGTGTTCTTCTAATTTTAAATCTAGCTAAAACGAGTTGATTTTCCCAATGTAAGTTGCTTAAATCAGAAAGGTGGACGTAGAGACAAAAGTTAAAGGAAATAATTAAGGAATTGAAAAGATCAGATGAGATACTAAACATAGGAAGGAGATTTATTTATTTATTCACTTATTTAAGAAAGATTCCTCAGCTCCTGTCTCTGTGTTGCACATTGTCTGAGGGCCCAAAGATGAACAAATTCCGACCTCCTGGTACTTGCCTTCCAGGCAGCAGAAGGACAAGAAACCAATAGCAAGTTGGAATGCTCTCTGTCCTCAGGTAGCAATAAATTCAATGTGGAAAAATAACGCAAGCAAAAGTATGAGGGGAGGGGTGGGAATCAGACCAATTTTTAATGCTAGGAATGTTTTTGCTCTTGTAACAAAGGGTGATGGAGTTAGAGCCATCATAACTTTAACAGATGAACAAAAACAAAGGATGTGTTAATCCTAGTGATGTCGGTGAAACTGACCTTGATTGCTATATGATTTTAAGTTTAATTCTAGTCAAAGTTAATTTCTCCCATTTTCCCATTGCTAGTAGTGTTCGATTTTTACACTTACTCTGTATAGCAGAAGCCACAAAAAAGGTTAGGTCCTTTGACCCATAATACGGTGATCCTCAAGCTCATTGGACCTAATGCCGTCTTTTTCATAGTAAATATTTTGTGACACCCCCTTGATTATCCTGAAATGAAGTCATGGGTAATATAACTTATCTAGACACATGATTTCAAGAATTCAAGACAATACTTCGAAGAAACAAAAGGAATGTGTAATAAGCATAACAACATAGTAAGACTTAACAATGCCTCTATACATGGAGTTGCTGTAGCATCTTCAATGTAGACCAAAGTCCAGGCTATGGACCAATCATAACTGGGAACATCGCGGCAAATTACACGTCACTGACCTAAAGCCAGTCCCATGGCTGCCTCGAATTCAAGGGGGCAGGGAAGTTTAATCTTCCACAGACCCAGGTTGGGGAGAATCTGAAAGCTTTAGTGTAAGAGTCAGGCTCTGGGCTATCGATTGGCTTCATGAGTGTGAGCGCATGGCATTCAGCAGGACACTGGACGTGGCACAGTCCTCTGTTGGGTTAGAGTGTCCCATGCATTGCCTGGCTCTGCCCACCAATGCCAGTAAAGTCACCCAGGCAAATGTGCCGTGACAAGTTTCCAGCATCCCTCTCATAGTCAGAGTGGCCCTCTTTAAGAACCATTGCATCCGTCAAGCTCATTGGATTTATCCTCAGGCAATAATCAAAAAGAGGACAGTGCTATTTGTCTGAATATATTGATACCAAGGATATTAATGACAGCACAGAATTGGAAACAACATAAATATCTAACTGAATGGAAATGTTTAATTAGGTATGATTTCTCCAAAGAATATTATACAGCCATTAAACAGATAAATAGAATCCAAAACTGTGAACCGAAAATATCATTTATGATATCCTATTGATTGAAAGCATTATAACATTTTATGTAATCTATATAAAAACATGAATGTATGTGAAATGAAGAAGGAAATATTCTAAAATTGGTACTCATATGAGAATGAATAAGCAACTTATGGCTGTGTAACAACCCCACCCCCAAAGTTAGTGCCTTATAACGACACGCAGTTGTTAGTTCATCGTTTGTAGGTTGGCAGTTTGGGCTGAGCTCTCGTGATGTGATTCCTCTGCTGGCCTCGCCGGGGCTCACTCCTGCCTGGCAGTCCGCTGGAGGCTCAGCGGGGCAGGCTGGCCCAAGGTGGCCTCACTGACGTGCCTAGCAGCTGCTGCTCACCGTCATCTGGGCCTCTCTCTACAGCAGCCTAGCCCTGGACATCTTCTTTTAACAAACCTGGACAAACATGCAGTGTTTTAGGCCCATGTTATAACTTTAAAGCTGTGAGGAAAGCAATTGATGGAAATTGTTTTACTGTACATTTCAGTATGATTCCCCAAAGGCCTAATCAACCGTAGAATATCAGAGGCAAAAACCAAAACAGACCAGCCACCCATCTGGTCCAGGGAAGGCAAGTAGGTTTTATCTGAAGTGTCACCTAAAATGGTTGGTCTTGGGACCACATTAAAGGCTGATGCCTCAAAGGGAAAAGAGAGCAGTTAGCTAGTTAAGCTGGCCATGGGGAATGGAGGGAGAGTGGTGAGTAAGGGCCACACACCTGCTGTGGGGAAGTGGAGGCCTCATGAAGGATGAGTCTTGTCTTTGGGTCCTTCCAAAGGGTTTGCTAGAAGTAGCTGGACCTTACCTTGCTGCAGCAGTTAAAGACACTCTGTCATTTATTGCGTTTTTGACAGATGGCTGACAAGTGATAAACTCTATGTGCAGGTTGTGGTTCAGGAACTGCTGGCTCAGTACACCAAGCAGTATGAAGAAAGACCCATCTCTAGCCTGCTCCGAAACTGGACGGAATCAGGGGGTGACAAGCTGAGAACCAGGTATGTGACCATTCAGGCTGCCAACATCGTTGACCCGGTGTCTTATTCTTGAGCCCGAGTATACAGGGTCTTGTCATGGCACAACTCACTCCTGTTTAAATTTTAAATATTGATGTAAAAGAGAGAATCAACAAGAACCTACTGTATAGCATAGGGAACTCTACTCACTACGCTGTAATAGCCTATATGGGAAAAGAATCTGAAAAAGCATAGATATATGTATGTGTATAGCTAAACCACTTTGCTGTACACCTGAAACTAACACAATGTTGTAAATCAACTATACTCCAATATAAGATTTAAAAAATATTAATATGTGGAAAAAATAAATGAATATGTATCTTCAGTACTCATGCACCCACAAACCAACTTAAGAACCAGAACATTGCTAATTCTGTTCTTCCTACACCTGTTCCTTCTTTTTGGCATGTTCACTGTTCCAAGGACTTTACAGGTTTTAATCCTAAACACCCCATGAGGTAGGTTATTATTTCCATTTCACAGATGAGGAAACAGGCACAGAGGTTAAGTGTTTTGCCCTTAGGTTACATGCCACTAGGTGACAGAGCTAGGATTTGAACCCAGATAGTCTGGCTTCAGGATCTGTGCTTTGGGTTGTTTTCATTGATTTTTTCGTATTGTCTTTAAACTTGGTAAATAAGGCATAATGTGTGTGGTATTCTATAGCTTCCTGTTTTCAGGTTCATCCAAGTGGTTATGTGTGGTTGAAGAGCTTCTGTCTGTGCTCATAATATTTCATCATGTGTCTGTGCCACAAGTTGCTCATCCATTTTAATCTCCAGTATCAGTGGGTATTTGGGTTGTCTTTTTGACATTTTGAACACGCTCTCATGAAAAATCTTGTATATGTTTTCTGGGGAACGTGGGCAAGAATTTCTACAGGGCTTTCAAATTTAGTTGCTGTGACTCAGAGAAATACGTTCTCCATCACCATGGACACCCACACACCCATAGAGTCTCCTGCCCTCCCTCCCCACCACAGACACAAGTGAAACAAACATTTCATGAAACAATGCTCATCCTATTACTCATAATGCTCTCTGATATTTTTAATTTTGTTTTTTAAAAATACTGATCTCAATCCTTTAAACTGATTTCATGAGCCATTTTAGCCATTTGCAATCTATTGATTGAAAAACACTCCTCAGTAGCATATATGACCCAGGAGTGAAAGTGCTGTGTTGTGGGTGTGCCAGTGTTCAACTTTACTACATCATGTCAAAGTATTTTTCACTGATTGTACAAATTTATATCCCCACCAGCAGCATGTGTCTTATGGAGCTAACACTTGGTATTATCAGACTTAATTTTTGTCGATATAACATAAGAAAAAGATCTCTCACTATGCTTTAAAATTGCATTTTCATATTACTCTTACAACCGAGTATGCTTTCACACGTCTATTTGCCATTTGTATTTCTTCCTATGTGAAATGCCTGTCATGCCTTTTGCCAATTTTTCTTTCTTTTTTTTTTTTTTTTTGGTCTTAGTCTTATTGACTTTTAGATGTTACAGTTCTCTTCTCCAAGTTTGTGGCTTGTCTTATATTTTCTTTATGGTGTTTTTTGATTAACAAAAATTCTTAAATTACAATTGAGTTTATCAATCTTTTCCATATCTTGTCTTTGATGTCATGAAATATACACTTTTTAAAGTTTGAGAGTTTGAGAGTTTGAGAGTTTGAGAGTTTCACCTTTCACATTTAACTCTTGAATCCATTAGAAACTTTTGTCTGTGGTGTGAGGGAGGGATTTAATTTCATTTTTTTTTCCTCCTGTAGAGATTGTCAGTTGTTCCAGCCCCATATACTGAATTGACTGTCTTTCCCAAGTGATGTGGAATGTCCCCTCTGACATTTATTAAACTTTTATATATGCAGGAGTCCATTTGGGGGCTATTTGGGTCCTAGACTGTTTGTATATTCTTAATTCAACAATACACCATCTCAATTCCACTAGGTTTATAATAGTATAATAGTATTATATGGTACTTATTATATATAATATTATTATATTATTACCTTTAAAATATAATTCAGAATTGTTGGCTATTCTGGGTCTTTTGCATGTCCACATAAGTTTTAGAGTTAAGTTTGTCAAGTTCCTCCAAAAAAAAAAAAGAACTTGCATACACCAAAAGGACAAATTTTGTATAGATGCCCTTATATAAGGTATCTAGAGTAGCCAAGTTCATAGAGACAAAGTAGAATAGTGGTTACCAGGGACTAGGAGGAGGAAGAAATGGGAGTTAGTGTTCGCTGGGTACAGAATTTCAGTTTGGGAAGGTGAAAAAATTTTGGAGATGCATATTGGTGATGGTTGCATGATCAAGTGAATGTACTTAATGCCACTGAACTGTACTCTTAAAAATGGTTAAGGTAGTAGATTTTATGTTATGTTACCACAATTTAAAAAAATCTACTGGAATTTTCTTTGAAAGTGTATTAAATCTGTAGATTTGCAGAAAAATTGACACGCTTATAAAAGTGAACTTCCTCTCAGAAATGTTAATCTCCCAAGTGTCTCCCAGAGTTTGATAATTTCTTTCAAACATAGTATAATGTTAGACAGATTTATTACTAGGTACACTAGAATTTTGTTGTTGTTGTAAAAAGAATATTTTTAAAATTCTGGGTTTTGTTGTTGCTGATTTATTATATGCACAGTTGGATTTTGTACAATATATAAACCTGACCGTAAAAAAATTTCTTTTAAATGTGACTATAGGTTCTTTGAGGTAGACAGTCCTACTATCTGCAGATAATGAATTTTTCTTTCTTCCTTTCCAGTTATTCTTTTTTGTGAGAAAGTATTTTATCCCTGGTTTTAAAAAGAATTAGTTTAATATTTCACTATTAAGAATGACATTTGCTAAAGTTTTTTGATAGACACACTTTACTTCCTAAAGAAGCTCCTTTTACTGTTATTTTTAACATATTCTTCTTATTAGTAGATGAATTTTACTGCAAATGATTTTTATCTATTCTGATATTTCTTCTTTAATCAGTTAATATGGTAAATAACCCCTGCATGCTTGAGAAACTCTCAATTGTGTTTATTGATTTATGCTCATAAATGTGCTGCCTCCTTTGTGCTACTTTTGAGGAGTTTATTGTGCTTCTTCCTTTTGTGCATTTTGAAAATTATTATTTTTATTTGGAGGGAGACTTTGGTCTTCATAACCCAAATGTATTGAACTAATTTCCAAGGAAACTATTCATTAAAAAGTATAATCTTACAATCCTAATAAAAGACATGGAAAACACAATATATATAATATGGGACATTTCATATCTGTTGGCATGAAGTGAAATTTTAAAAATCTGCGTTCTGTCCTCCTCCCCTTTTTTTTTTAAACTACTGCTCAGGTTCCTGTTTATTCAAACTGTAGTCTATCTTAAAGCTGGAAACATCAGATCCCATATCCTAGGACTGTTTCACTTAAGTCTCGCTCAGTTTGGGGGTGTTTTTTTTTTTTAAGTTTTTATTTTATACAGTTTCCCTTGGTTTTGTCTCAGTTTGTCCTTGCACACTCTAAAAAGTCAGTGAATCTTTTTAATATTTCTAGCCCTGAATGGGCATTTTGTGGTGCTGATAGCTTTCCCCGAAATTTATTAGCTGGAAAATTTCCAACATATAAGGAGTTGAAAGAACAGTACAATTCCCATCAGAATCAGTTCCATCCATTCAGGAATCGTGTTCCCTAGCTAGCTACATATCATCTGCCCCTCCATTTCTCTTCCAGATAGCGGAGCAGGGCTTGTTTCCATCATTTCGAAAGCAAAACAGACTCTTGCCGATATGCAAATCTATGTTTCTAGCAAGTCTTCCAAGATAGACTTGAGATGTGCCAAAGGCAGTATTCCAATTGTAAATATTTGGAAAGTTCCAGTCCATTTATTTTGTCTCTGTTATTAACCTCCAAAACAGTGCACTTCTCTCTCCCACACATCCCGGTTTTACTGATTCAGTCTGGCTGTGTTTATCTCCTTAAGTCCCCAAACCTTACTTACTCTGATTTTTATGTATATTAAGAAAAGCCTTTGTCATCCAACACATTTCCACACACATAGTGTATGGGGCACTTCTCTAGGTGTTAACAATACAGCAGTAACTGTGGGTTCTCAGCCTTCATGGAGCTTACATGCAAGTAGAGCCGTTGGATGGCAGTCTTACTGACAACTCACAAGAGAAGTACCCATGAGCAGGTGGGGACAGGAGGAAAGAAGGGGTGAGAACTTCCTGGTGCCCTGAAATCCCTCCAGGTAGGCGGCCATTTGTATGGACCCCCAGAGGCTAGCCTTCATCTGAACAGTGGGAGGAGTCAGTCATGGTACTGGAAAGGTTCCATGAGACTAGGTGAGGAGGCCAGGGCTTGGCTCTGATTGGGGCTGTACTTGGTTCTGCCCTTTCTTGTCCCAATGAGTGCTGCCTCTCCCCCTCTCCTAAGGGGTTGACACTGGAGCCCTCACAGATCTCATCAGCCTGTGGATCCCCAGGAGACTGTGGAGGCTGAGGAAAGGCAAGCTTCTGTGCTGTACTTGAATGCTGTGCCATTTACATTATGAACATTTTCAGACACTCAGGGAAATTGAAATAATTGTAGGGAACATTCATATACTCACCATAGAGAGTCAACTCTTAACCTGTGGCTGTGATTACTGTATCACATATGTACCCCTGTACCAACCCCTCAACCCATCCTTCAATTCATCTTTTCTTTTGCTGGTGCACTTCAAAGTAAACAGCAGACATCAATATACTTCTAAATAATAAATAATTTGGTATGAGCATCATTAACTAGAGTTCAATATTTGGTTACAGGTTTTTCTACTTATGTAGAATTTACCTACAATGAAAGACACAAATCTTTTTATAACATCTTTATTGGAGTATAACTGCTTTGCAATGGTGTGCTGGTTTCTGCTTTATAACAAAGTGAGTCAGCCATACATATACATATATCCCCATATCTCCTCC